TATCAATACATGTTAACTGCCTCAGTTACCAAGGAGTGATGAACCTACACATAAAGCCATTTTACCTTATAATGTTTTATGAACAGAGCGTCTTCACACCAGAACAAAAGACAAAGATAAACGTTTGGGGCAGAATAATTAGAAAAACCTGAAGTCACTATAATCAGAACCAGCCCCTGGAAGTGCTTAATTTTCCGACAGTGTTATATTATGGATTTTGCCAATAGGTTTTATCTTTTCAACTAAGAAAAAAAAATCCAAATGTGTGTGATACTCATTCTATCAAAGTTCACAGACGTTTTCATAACACTTCATTATATTAATTCTTCCAGAAGGGACATACACTCCTGGAAATGCCAACACCTGGGAAAAATCCACATTGTTGAGCAGACAGTTGATTATGCTTGCAAGTAAATGACTTTGATTATTTGTTCCCAAACGCAAGTTCATGTACCTGATGCTCGGAGAGCCCAAACAATACCGAAATGTTGGAGTTTGGAGCAGAAAAAGGTTTAGTGCAGGGCCAGGCAAGGAGAATGGTGGCTTATGCCCAAAACCCCAAACTCCCCGAAGGTTTCAGCAGAGCATTTTTAAAGGCCAGGTGAAGGAGGGCCGTGGTAGGTCAGATCACAGTGTTCCTGTAAACCTCCAGCAGGACAACTATTATTCTCTGTTACACAACTTTTTATTATTTTTATAGAATGGAAGAGTGTTAGACTCTTAAAGGTCAGCACCTTGAGATTGGGCTCTCCTGTATATTTCAGGCTATAGGCAACATCCTCTTGTGTGTGTGTGTATGTGTGGTTAAGGAAAATACAGTGTTTATTGTAGTTACAAAAAAAGAGAACAGGCAGCTAGCACTCAAAAGATCAGAACTCCTCAGAACTTAAAATTTTTTTGTTTCAAAAAATTTAACTTGATTTTTTAATTTTTAAATTATGAAAGCATGATGACACATTTTCAGGAGACTTGGAAAATATAGAACAAGGTTACATATAGTTCTACTATAACTATTTTTAAGTAGATAAATTAAGATTTTTAGTTAGAGTTTCAAACTCTCAAAAATTAATAGAATGTGTGACAGAAAAATAGAAGGATACAGTAGATCTGAAAAGCACTATGGACCAATTCAACATAACTAAGATTAATACAATTTTCACACAATAGCAGGGTACAAATTCTATTCAAGTTCCCATAGACTATAAACCAGGAGACAGTGGAGTATATCTGGGGACATAAAACAAGGTGCAAAATTTTCAGAGTCTGTTCTCTTATCACTGTGGAATTATCTTAGTCAGAATTCAATATCAAAAGATATTTGAAAATAACCCACATATTTTCAAGTGCAATGTGTCATTCACCAAGAGACACCTTTGACTTAAGCCATCAAAACGGGCTCTAGGTAACATTTTTAACTCAAGCCAAAGCAGCAGAATAGAAAGGTAAGTAAAAGGACGAATCCGATGTGGAGTCAGACTTGCTCTTCCCGATGACGCTGATGTGGCTGGTAATTTGAAAACGGGACCCTTAGCAGAGGCGCCTGATTCTCCTGACGACCCGCCTCCTCCAGGCAGCCCTGCACCTCAGCTCTTTCTTCTGGCTTCAGGTGGGCTATGCCTGCACCTCCCGGGTGGTTGCTGGGAGACCGTGTCCCAGCTCCATCAGCCCGGGAACCGCCAGCAGCCCTGGGTCACTGACTGGACAGTGAGACGTGACGAGCCCCAGCCCAGCTCCGGCTTCCCTGGGCTCAGTCGCCCAGCACAGCCAACTCTGTGCGACCCCAAGGACTGTAGCCTGCCAGGCTCCCCCATCCATGGGGCATCTTCAGGCAAGCATGCTGGAGTGGGTGGCCATGCCCTCCTCCAGGGGATCTTCTTCCCGACCCGGGGATCGAACGCACGTCTCCCACATGGCAGGCAGATCCTTTACCGTCTGAGTCACCGCTCTCCTGGTGAACAAACACATCACCATGTTTACCAGGCCTAGTGTCTTCTTCCCTGTGGCCCCTCCAACCACGCCTTCCAACAATGTTAATACCACCGGCTGTTATTCCCACGTCTCCCAACAGGGAAACTGAGGCCCAAAAAGATCGAGCAGGAGGCCTGGGACCAGTGACCAGTGGGAGGCAGTACCAGACCCCAGACCAGGCCTGGAGGCTCCAAGGGATTTTCCTTTAATCCACCTTTTAACCCGCACCTTGCTGCTAGTCTGGACTAGCTTTGAAGGGGAGGTGCTGGGACATTGTTCGCATGTCCGTCCCATGAGTCTTGAACTGTTCTTGGCCCTGAGGACACAGAGGAGAACAAAAGGCATTTAAGTTCCCTGCCCCACTCCCACCAGCAGACAGCGCCCCAGCGGGGAGCCATGCAGTGGTCCTCCCCTGCACCCCGGCTTCTCAAGAGGTGACTCTCCCCCAACTCACGGTCACTGGTTGTCTGGTTTTGCCTGCATGACTGAGCCGCCCTGTCCCCTGGCCATCTGCCCAAGCCGGTGACAAAGCCGAGGGGGGCGAAGCCAGCCGCTGGACCAGGTAGGTCCCTCCGGATGAGCAGGCAGTCTGCTCTCAGGAGGGAAGGTCCCCAGCTGCTCCTGGCCACACTCATCCCAGTACTTCAGGGCCACAGGGACCACATGACTGTGACCTTCAGCGTGCCCCCTCCTCGGGGAGGAGCAGGACACGGGACTCAGACCCTCATGGCTCCTCATCACCCTCCCAAGCCTGGATGTGGGCGGAGGCTTCTCTGGGTTGGCGAGCACACCATTTCAGTACAGTGTTTTATTTTAGGCCTGCCCTTGGGAGGGGCTGGGCTTCCCCGGTGGCTTAGCGGTGAAGACCCCACCTGCCAATACAAGAGGCCCAGGAGACACAGGTTCAATCCCTGAGCCGGGAAGATACCCTGGAGGAGGAAATGGCAACCCACACCAGTTTTCTTGCCCGGAAAATCCCATGGACAGAGGAGCCTGGCGGCTACAGTCCATGAAGCCACAGAGAGTTGGACACGACTGAAGTGGCTTAGCACATTGGGAGGGGCTGCTTGAGAAAATTGAGTGGGGTGCACCGTGCCCAGAGCACAGATGCCCAGTGACCCCCAGTTTGCCAGGACATCAGAGTCACAGTGGAGACCCAGACACAGGGCTGTGATGATCACGCCCCATCATAAGCCAAAGGGCAGGTACAGCGGAGAGGCTCGGATTGACGGGGGTGAGGGAGCATCCCTGGGCCACCACCCACCCTCAGACCCTGGCTGGGCCCGAGGCAGGGAGGCTGGGCCAGACCTGGCCCAGATGAGGCCAGAGGAGGAAGAGGCCGCCAGGCCCCACCCCCGAGTCGGGACGTTTCCTCAGTCATGTGGTCCTTCTTATCCCTCATCTGAGCAGACATTTACCAGGCTTGGAAAAAACACTCAGAAGAGAGAGAAAACAAAAGTTCCCTTCAGAATGGGGAGAATTATCTTCGTACTTAAAAAAATTGGAATAACAAATGTCTGCGGCCCATTTTCATGTGAGAAGCTTTATTTCTTCCACTGATCCTTGTTGTCTTCCTATCCTGGCGGGGTGGGGGCCAGTCTGATTGTGGGACCCTCAGAGTCCCGGGCTTCTTAGCTGGATGGAAGGGTGGGGTCTTGGCCTTGACCTACCCTGGGCAGCGCCTCTCGAAGCCTCCGTCTCTTCTCCTCTCCCCGTGCCCCTCCCTCTCGTCCTCTGTCTCTGTCTCTGTCTGTCTGTCTCTGCCTCCAGGAGAGCCCTTGCACCCTGGTTGTGTCCCGCAGCTCAGATCTCAGCTAAGGAACGTGTCATACGTGACACATGTGATCCCGGAGAAACACCGCGTGTGCCTGCGGCCACCCCACCCCGTGAAGTCCCCGGGGACCTCTCACCCCCGTTTTCCAACATCCACGTCAAGATCCTCCAGTTTAGCGCTTTGGCCAAAGACTTTAAGAAACTTTTTCAGGAAACCCAAGTGTTTCCTGTTTGGCGTGGGCTGTGCTGAGACGTCCCCTGGGAGAGGAGCCCGGCAGGGATGGAGGCTCATGTTCCTGGAAGTTGCCTCGGGAGGAGGGGCAGCTCCGGGCAGGCCTCGAGTCAGTCGGTGTGGCTGTGATCCCCTCCATTCCTGGCCCCGGCTGGCCTGAAAGATCACCAGTTATGACCCCAGATGGTTCTCCAAGCTCCTGCCAGGGGCCCAGATTGCCCGCCTCCGTCCGAGGCCATCGGGTGGGCTCCCCTTGTGACAGAAACGGCGTGTCGTGTCCCGAGCTTGACACTGGGTTTGATCACCAGGTCCCCATCCACACGATCCCTGAGCCCAGGCCCTCCCCAGCATCAGGAGCTGCTCTGTAACCCCCCAGAGGACGAGACCAGTCTGGGACCCCCACCCTTGGGCAGGTTCCATCCCAGAGGGAGCCAGATGGACGTGAGGACCATGAGGGTCCAGGGACTGGCTGCAGTAATGACACAGAAAGTTCCAGAAGGTGGGGGGCAGGAAGGACCGCAGACCTGAGGCCCTTGGAGGTCCAGCCGTGACTCTGAGTGAGGGGAGAAGACTCATGGCAGAGAAAGCAAGGGACCCAGCTCCGCCCTGGGGGATTACACTGGCTGTCGGGAAGGGAAATGGCCAGGACCGGGCCAGGGTCAGGGGGCAGGACCTTTCTGGACCAGGGCCACGAGGAGGGATGGTCACCATCTGAGCCCTGGGCTCCCGGGCACCACCAAGTTGTGACTTTTTAAATCCCAGAGAAAGAAACTCAGGCTATCCTCATACCACGTGAATAGTTGATACTTCTCTGCTAAAAATGTTCCTTGAAGCTGGCATCACAGCACTGGGGAAAGCATAAGCGTGACCACCGAACAGGCACTAGGAGGTGCTTCGGGACGGCCAAGGGCTGACCGGCCAGGGAGCCCTGTTCCTCATCTCTGAGTGGGGGTGGTGAGACCGACATCAGAGACTGGTGCAGCAGAGCAGGACTATCTCCCCAGCACCCATCAGACCCCTCCCCGTCCTAAGCCAGACCTCCGTCCACTTCGACTGCACGGCGATGGGGGCAGCGGGACGGAGCAGGCCACCCACCAGCTCGCCTCTGCTCCGACAGGCTCACGCGGCTGCCCTGGTGGGTCAAGGCTGCCCCCCACCCCACCCACTGTAAAGCCAGGGTCCCCCAGCTTCCAGCTTGCACGGTCCTAGTATCACAGAGCACCTCGCTCAGCTTCCGTCCGAAGGCCCCTGGGCCCACGGTCTTTGGTCTCAGGTCAAGACCCTGGGCCAGGAATCCACCCTCAGACCCGTCCCTGTGGGCAGGGAGGTCCCTGTGACTGTGGCTCCCAGGCCAGACAGAAGACCGTTCTGTGGACAGAGCAGGACCCACTGACCCGTCTCTGGGTCTTCCCTCTGCTGACCTTCTCCAGGCAGAGTTCTTTCCCAATCCTGCCACTAGCCCTGTGTCAGATCTGACCTCTGCAGATGCTTTCTCCCTCCCCGTAGTTGGTCTTTCATCTTAACAGGGTCTTGTTCAGAGCCAAAGGTTTTAATTCTGATGAGGCCGAAGTTATCATTTTTTTTTCTGGATCTAACAACTTGCCACCGAGTCTGAGGGGTCCCAGAGAGCTCCTCCTCTGGACTATCTAGCAGTGTCGTGGTTCTATGTTTATACATGTAAGATGGTAGCCTGTTTTTTAATTCTTAGTTATTTATTCTTGGCTGTGCTGAGTCTTTGTGCGGCCTTGTCTTTTCTCTAGTTGGAGTGAGCAGGGCCCGCTCCCTAGCTGTGGTGAGCAGGCACTCCTGGTGCTGAGCGTGAGCCCTGGAGTACTTGGGTTTCAGCAGCCGCTGCTCCCACACTGTCGAGCAGAGGTTCGGTAGTTGTGGCTTACGGGCTTAGCTGCTCCACAGCTTGTGGAATCTTCCTGGACCAAAGGTTGAACTTTTGTTCCCGACACTGACATGCATGCTAAGTCGCTTCAGTCATGTCTGACTCTTTGCAACCCTATGGGTCATAGCCCACCAGGCTCCTCAGTCCATGGGATTCTTCAGGCAAGGATAGTGGAGGGGGTTGCTGTTCCCTTCTCCAGGGGATCTTCCTGACCCAGGGGTCAAACCTGGGTACCCTGCATTGAGGGCAGATTCTTTACTGGGCTGAACCACCAGGGAAGCCCAGGATAACTGGGAAGAGTTAATTTTGAATTCAAGCTGGATCTGCTTCTGTGACTTCAACCCTCATCCTGCCGCTTTTGTTATTGTGTGCATGCTTAGTCGCTCAGTCGTGTCAGACTCTTTGCGACCCTATGGACTGTAGCCCGCCAGGCTCCTCTGTCCTTGGGATTCTCCAGGCAAGAACACTGGAGTGGGTTGACATGCCCTCTTCCAGGGGATCTTCCCGACCCAGAGATTGAACCCAGGTCTCCCACATTGCAGGCGGATTCTTTACCATCTGAGCCACCAGTTATTGTGAAAGTCGCTCAGTCGTGTCTGACTCTTTGCCTCTACAGTCCATGGAATTCTCTAGGCAAGAATACTGGAGTGTGTAGCCTTTCCCTTCCTCAAGGGATCTTCCCAACCCAGGGATGGAACCCAGATCTCCCACACTGCAGGCAGATTCTTCACCAGCTGAGCCACCAGGGGAGCCCAAGCTAGAAGCCATTGAGGGCATACATAATGGCCTGCCTCAGGGAGGTAACCTGAGCCCCCAGCAGTGAAGGACTGTAAGCGAGTGAAACTCTCACAGCCCCCTGCCTGACGCTTGCCGTTCTAGGGGACAGTTGGAAGGACTGAAGTCTTTTCACTTCATTTCCTCACCTTCTCCCTCCCCATCTCTGATCCATAAAAGAAGCTGGCATCCAGGCCCCCACACGATGGTTATTTTGAGGCTCTAGCCTGCCATCTTCTCCATCAGCCAGCTCTCAAATAAAGTCCCTTCCTTGTCTTAGGGACACCAGCTCGTCTCTGGTCGTTGGCCTACCAGGCAGAGGTAGAGCGAGTTTGAACTTCGGTAACAGGAAGGCTGCTCCGTGCTGCGGGGCAGAGAAGTAGCCAAAGCGTCCCTCCTTCCTCCCCCTCAAGGCGGCCAGGCTCTGCCTCTGATGGAGAGGTGACGGTGGGGAAGGCGGGATTGGGTAAGGGTTGGAGCAGCCAGCCCCCCAGTGCTGTGGGGACAGGGGGCAAGGAGGGCAGCTGTGTTGCTGAAAGACCAGGAGGGCCTGGGCCCAAGGCTGCCCCGGGGGAGGATGGTTTCTGAGAGCAGAAGGGAGCCAATCCGACTTTAGGAGGGGGAAGGAAAGGGTCAAGGGCCAGGGGTGGGGCAGGCAGGGAGGCAGGATCACCTGTGGGATTGGAGGAGTTCCACCTCCACCCCAATAACTCCCTTTAACATGGGCCCTGCTTGTGGCCCCAGGGCCCTCATCCCCCAGCGGGACAGGGTAGGGTGAGGCATTACAGACCAAACTTTCAGCACCGCCCTGGAGTCTCTGAAATCAAAGTCAGGGGAATGGAGGGGGGTGGACTAAAGTAACTGAAAATGTTATTTTACAGTGATGGATTCAGTGCAGTCCAATTCAGTCACTCAGTCGTGTCTGACTCTTAGCGACCCCATGGACTGCAGCACGCCAGGCCTCCCTGTCCATCACCAACTCCCAAAGCTTGCTCAAACTCACATTCTTCAAGTCGGTGATGCCATCCAACCATCTAATCCTCTGTCGCCCCCTTCTCCTCCTGCCTTCCATCTTTCCTGGATTATGTAACAGCAAACTTTACACGCAGTTTAAGGGTGACTGATGACAAGGCCTCAGAGAGGTCTTACCAGCCCAGAGCCCTGGAGAACTGGCTAGTTGTCCCCATCCACCAGAGCGGGGCTACTTGGGGAAAAGTGTGAGAATTCCAGACTTTATCAGGAAGCTGCAAGCATGCCCCTGGCAGAGGCTACCTGTGAAGTCAGCAGCAGGAATCCATTCCCCGCTCGCTGAGAAAGAATCCCAGACCAGTGGCCCTGAGACTGGGGGGCCGGATCTGTGGAGGGGCAGGGGGGGTCCGGGGGGCTCGCAGGCACTGGCCCCAGGGGGTGTTGAGCTGGGAGGGAGGACCCCGCAGACAACTGCGAAGACTCCCCATTGTATGTGGTGAATCCACCTCACGGGGATCCAGCTCCATTCTCTCACCTAACGAGGGTGCGGTCCAGCGCTGGCTGCTCAGAGATCCTCCTGTGGCCACAGATGCAACCCAACACCCGTCTAGTCAGCACACAGTCACTCCCGAATATCCCTGTCCTGAGTGAGTAGGGTTCCCGCTGCCGGTCACAGAAACCCCTGCCTGTTCCCATGAACAGAATGACTCCCCTGACTGTTCAAGAAAGGCAGCGTTTTGGTGACAACTGGATCCCAACTCGAGGTCAGCACGCTGATCTCCCCATCTCTCTCTCTTCTGTCTGACTGTCTGTCGCTCTTTCTCTGCCATTCAGCCCTGCTTGGCACAGTGATCGCCAGCAACACCAGGCTACAGCATCTTGCTGTGAGGACCAGGAGTCTCCTGTCTCCCAGGTCCCACATCTCACTTCCAAGGAAGGCTCCAACTGGCTCTTCTGGGTCACGCACTGCAGGCAAGAGGAGGGGACCCTCTGCTGGTCCAGCTCTGCTGGCTGGGACAAGAGGAATCATAACTGACCCTCAGAGCTTTCCAGCTGTGGTTCCTGGACAGCACGGAGATCCAACCAGCCCATCCTAAAGGAAATCAGTCCTGAGTCCTGACTATTCATTGGAAGGACTGATGCTGAAGCTGAAGCTACAATACTTGGGCCACCTGATGTGAAGAATTGACTCATTTGAAAAGACCCTGATGCTGGGAAAGACTGAAGGCGAGAGGAGAAGGGGATGACAGAGGACGAGATGGTTGGATGGCATCACTGACTCAATGAACATGCATTTGAGCAAACTCTGGGAAGTGGTGAAGGACAGGGAAGCCTGGCGTGCTGAAGTCCATGTGGACGCAAAGAATCAGACACAACTCAGCAACCAAACAACAACAATGCAGAAGGTAAAGAACAGAGACAGTCCACCACCCTTCCACACCCTAAGCAACAGGGTAAAGAAACTGCCTGCCAATACAGGAGACTTAACAGACACAGATTCGATCCCTGGGTTGAGAAGATTCTATTGGAGAAGGGCATGGCAACCCACTCCAGTATTCTTGCCTGGAGAATCCCCATGGACAGAGGAGCCTTGTGGGCTACAGTCTTTGGGGTCTCAAAGAGTCAGACAGGCCTGAGCAACTAACACACTACTGGCTCAGATGGTAAAGAATCTGTTTGCAGTGTGGGAGACTCAGTTTCAATCCCTGGGTCAGGAAGATTCTCCAGAGTAAGAAAGGGCAAACCCACTCCAGTGTTCTTGTCTGGAAAATTCCATGTACAGAGGAGCCTGGTGTGCTACGGTCCATGGGGTCACAGAGTCAGACACGACCAAGCTATATCACAATTATAATAGCTGTTCTGATGTGTCCAGGCACAGGGGTACAGCATCCTGATCGCCTAGTCATGCCTGGCACTGGTAGAATAGGTGGACCATACAGCAAAGGCCTGGTCATTCGCCATCCCTGCTCCTGCCCTGGCAGAGCCTGTAGAATCCTACAACCAAGATCATAATGTCATCAGCTTCCCAAATGGCTAATGTTCCTTCCCTCCACCACCGGCCTTACTGAGAGTCACGTGTGTAGAATTATCAGCTGGAAAATGCCATGTCCCCGGCTCGCCTAGCCGTTTGACAAAGGAAATCAAGACACTGAGGCAGGAAGCCCCCAGTGTGAAGCCTGGTTCACCTGGGTGAGTGGCAAGGCTAAAAATAGGCCTGACTCACACGTGGCTGGAAGGGCCAAACCGCAGCTCCAGCAAGGTTACCCGCCTTCAGCGCCACCCTGGGCGTCCTAAGCGGACTGCTCGGCGTGGGCAGACCCTGCAGCCGCACGTCCACCCAGACCTGGCTCCCGCCAGGAGTCATGTGGCTCCTCACATTACACGGAGCGCATCCGGCACCATCTGGCCAGGCCCGGAGCCCACTCGAAGTCCCTGCGTAAACAGAGCCGTCACCTAGGAAAACAGAGCTACATTTTCCATAGCGATGAAATGAGTCTCCAGGGGGTATTTACAAAAACGCCTGCTCTGTCTGCTCAGGGCCCGTGGGGTTCACGCTGATTAACTAGAACAGGAAGCCCAGGGTCTTCGCACAGCATAAAGGAAAGAAGTCAGAGAAGGAGCCAGAGTGAGGAAAGGGAAGCCCAGTAGGTCCATGTTCACATTAGACAAATGTTACAGTTACAGACGGTCCCTGATTTATACACAGGGCAACTCCAGGGCTGTGTGTGCAGGTCAGTCCTTTGGAGTTTGAAATGTATTATCCCAAAGACACTATGTTCCTTGGTCATGAAGTTAACCCATAGCTGTCTCTTCCTCTGATAGCATATGAAAGTACATTATCATTTTCACCTTTCCATTTCCCTCAACATCAACTCTAGCATTGTTTCTTAAGTAGATAAATTCTGAGACCAGAGCAGGTTAAGAGAGGCCTTCTCTCCTGGTCAATCCTAAAAGAAATCAGTCCTGAATATTCATTGGAAGGACTCATGCTGAAGCTGAAAATCCAATACTTTGGCCACCTGATGCGAATAACTGCATCCTTGGAAAAGACCCTGATGCTGGGAAAGATTGAGGGCAGGAGAAGGGGACAACAGAGGATGAGATGGTTGGATGGCATCACTGACTTGATGGACATGAGTTTGAGCAAGCTCTGGGAGTTGGTGATGGACAGGAAAGCCTGGCATGCTGCAGTCCATGGGGTCGCTAAGAGTCAGACATGACTGAGCGACTGAATTGAACTCTCTCCTGGTGGGGAATGGAGGTGGAGAGGGCTGGGTGATGGGTGACAAGCTCCCAGGAGCCTGGGTGGGAGCAGTGAGACCTGGTGGGTGGCCATCAGCTTTGTGCTTGAAACCGAGGATACCTTGCAAGCTCTGGCAGGGTCTGTTACCCCTTCAGCCTTGGTCAACTCATATCTGAACAGTCCCCACCTTATGTTGTCATTTTTGGAAGGATTAAGTCGTGGAAAAAGCATATAAAGAGTACATGGTACTGGGCTTGGCCCCAAACAAGACAAATGGTGGCTGCTATTTTACTGTTTTATGTGCAGGAGAGACCTTGATCGTCAGTTCTAAGCATCTCAGTGTTTAAGGGGGTTCACTGACTGTTTCCAACAAAGGGCAGGACCACATCTGTTTTACTCTAATTCCCCTGCATGGCCCAAAGTAAGCTCTAACAAGGATTGAATGGATGAATATGAATGGATGAATGTGGATGGGTGGGTGGATGAGTAGGTAGATGAGGGGATGAATGGATGGATAAGTGGTTGGAAGGATGGGTGGCTGAATATGGGTGGGTGGATTGATGAGTAGGTGAATGCATGGGTAGGTGGGTGGAGAGATAAATGTATGGATGGATGGATGAATGAATAGATGGATGGATATGGATGGATATGGATGGATAAATGTGGATGCATGGGTGGATAAGTAGGTAGATCAAGGGATGAGTGGATGGATAAGTGACTTGATGGGTGAATGGATGAATAGATGAACAGACAGAGGGATGAACAGATGAATGAATAAATGTATGAAGATCAAATACGTTCTGCCTTCTTCTCATTCACCATTGCCTCCAGCTTGAGCCTAAGGCTCTCCTCTCAGGGTCCTCTGCCCCTTAGCACTGTCACAGGCTTTGATCGTTGACTCCACCCAGTCACTGAAATTTTTCTACTGCAGGCTCTGAGGAATTATCTCTGCACCAACTCTTCCCTAGCCTTTTTCCTTGACTGTTAGTCCCTCGGGTGCCATGTCCACAGAGGTACTTCCTTGGCTCTCCCTCAACCCCATCCTCCCTTTTTCTCTACTCTCTCCATGAGCATCATTCTCTCATGGAGTCATCTCTTATCTCCATTCATTTCCAGCCTTAGTCTCTTAAGCGTTAATTGCTCAGTCGTGTCCAACTCTTTCTGACCCCATAGACTGTAGACCGCCAGGCTCCTCTGTCCATGGAATTCTCCAGTCTAGAATACTGGAATGGGTTGCCATTCCTTTCTCCAGGGGACCTTCCCAACCCAGGGGTCAAATCCAGGTCTCCCGCATTGCAGGCAGATTCTTTACCATCTGAGCCACCAGGGAAGCCCCTTAGTCTCTTATCTGTGCAGTAAATAAAACTCACGATGCCTGATGGTTATTTTTCTACTGTGATCCCATCAGCACCTTACATCCCGAACTAGAATGCCTTCTTTTTCTTGTTTCCTTCCCCAAGCAGGTCTCCCCTCCTCCCAGGTCTCCAGCTCCCTCTGAGGACCATCCCACCCTCGCATTCATAGGCTTGGACTCTCAGAGCCTCTGCACTCCCCTTATCCTTCTCATCTAGCCAATCAGGTCATGAGGACTGATTCTGCACAGCCTCCCAGTCTCTGCCCCTGCGCCGCCAAGCAGGCCCTGCTGTCTCCTGGCTGGTCTGTTTTGCTGTCAGCTGTCACACCAAAGAAGCACACACCAGCTGCTGCAACACCCCCCACCAACAACGGTGCCACTGAGGCTCCTCTCTCACATCGTTGGGTGTCTATTGCCGTGCACGAACCATCCCAAGATTCAGGGGCTCAAAACCCCCCTTCTCTTTTCACTCATGATTCTGCCAGGCGGACAAGTTCAGCTGGGAGGTTCTTCTGCTCCATGGCATGTTGGCTGGGGAGGCCGTCGTCTTGGGCCCAGACTGGGCAGCAATGTCCAGCATGGCTCACCCAGAGATTTGGCCTCTTAGGAGAAATGGCCAGAACACCCAGCTGAGCTGGGACACTGAGGAAGCTGAGCACCTTTTCCCTCTGCGTAGCTTCAGGGCCTCTCCCTCCACACTTGGTAAGGTTGGCAGGGCAGTGGGACTTCTTCAGTGGCATCTTAGGGCTCCCCATCCGCTGCCTGGCCTTCCTAGAACTTGGCTCCATAACTGGCCCAGTGCCACTTCTGGAACCTTCTACTGGCTCACGGGACTCAAAGGACCAGCCCAGATTCAGCTTTCCACAAGGATGCTCCACGCACTGAATGCCTCATCCCCATGGAGATGATGTCAGGAGAAGTGAGATTTGAGAGCTGAGGCGTGGCTGGGTCATGAAGGCATAGCCCTCAAGAATGGGATTAGTGCCCTTATAACAGAGGCCCAGTGAGCTCCCCTGTGCCCTCCACCTGAGAGGACACTGGAAAAAGACAGTCATCTATGAACCAGGAAGCTCTCACCAGATTCCAAACCTGTCAGCCCCTTGATCCTAGAGTTCCCAGCCTCCAGAACTGGAAGAAGTCAAGGTCCGTGGTTTATAAGCCACACAGCCTATGGTCTTGTGTTATAGCAGCTCATAAAGACTGAAAGGGGTGCGAGGACGGGAAGTGTGGTTCCTCGGAGCTGTCTTCCAAGACTGAGGACCACATTCCCCCAAGCCAGAGCCCTCGGCGGGTGGGTGGCTCATCTGCATCTTACTGCTAATGTCATTTGCAGTGTGTGCTCTCCCAGGGCCTCTCAGCGGAGGAATAGAGAGAGGGCAGGAGGAAGCACAGTGGCTTTTAACAAACTCTGCTCAAAAGTGACACAGCCCTTCCCACTGGCCGGAACTAATCCTGACACCACTCCCACTCCACCTTGACCACAAGGAGGCTTAGAAATGTGCACAAGGGGATGGCTATTCCACCTCTGCCACATCATCTGCCTCTTTAAAGGATGGTGCCCCGCATGGGTGAACAGAGACCCCACTCTCTGCTGCGGGTACAGCCTTAGCTAGAGGACAGTGTGGGCCCCAGCTGCCTGCTTGCTCCTGGCTGGGTGTAGAGACCACACCTTGCACAGAACCCCTGGCTCGGAGACTCGGTGGGCATTACTCAGCCATGGACAACAGGGCTGAGTAACGTCAGAACACCAACCTCTGGTCTTCTTCCCAGAGCTTTCTGTGTTGCTGGCTGGGATGGAGAGGAATTCATTCCTCTCGAGGGTGGAGGCTGCCTGGATGACCCTGCTGGTTCCCACCTAGTTCAGGAGGAGAACACACAGCATCACTGTGGGAGGAACATTGGCCACGTGGGGCAAGTTGATCTGTGTAGCCTTTTCACAACACTGTGCCCAATTCAGGGTGCCATGTGAGCACAAAGGTGGAAAAACCGGAGAGGGATCCAAGTGCAACAAAACCACTTGACCTATAAAGTGAAGGTGGACGGGACTGGGATTAACTCACCAGAAGAACAGGAAATGAATCAGCATCAATGCCTGTGAACAGCAAGTCATCCAGAGCTGGACCTGGTGTCCAGCAAACCTGGTTTCAAGTGCTGACTCCATTGCTTCCCAGCTGTGGGGCCTTAGTCACGCACTACGTCTCTGGACATCACTTTCCTCATCTGTAGAATGGTCAGAGTCGTGGTAGCTCCCTTGCAGTGCTCATGTGATCATTGGATTAGATGGTGTGTGTGCTGGCTCGTGCATGCTAAGCACTCAGTAGACATGGGCAGTGTTCTGGCCGTGGATGCTGTGGATGAAAAACGCCACCTGTCACATCAGGAAACAAAGGACGCTGCAGCCATCAAGCCATCAGCCCCTGCAGCCATCCCAGACTGTGCCCTGGAGGCATTCAGGATGAGAAAGCAGGAGATAGACAGGTAAGGTGCATATCCAAGAGATGACTTCAATTAGCCTAGACTCAGCATCTTCCCACACCTAGAAAGAAAGTGAAGCCGCTCAGTCGTGCCCGACTCTTTGTGACCCCATGGACAGTAGCCTGCACCAAGCTCCTCCGTCCATGGAATTTTCTAGGCAAGAGTACTGGAGTGGGTTGCCATTTCTTCTCCAGGGAATCTTCCTGACCCAGGTTTTGAACCGAGGTCTCCCATATTGTAGACAGATGCTTTACCGTCTGAGCTACCAGGGAAGTCCCACACCTAGAAAAGCACCAAATCTGTCCATGAGATTCTCCAGGCAAGAATACTGGAGTGGGTTGCCATTCCCTTCTCCAGGGGATCATACTAACCCAGGGATTGAATCCGGGTCTCTTGCATTGCAAGCAGACTCTACCACCTGAGCTACCTGGGAAGCCCGTTAACCTGAGATACTTGGTTTTTTTCTAATGAACAGTAATATTTTGATGTTCTGACACTTGGTTTTGGTTGCAAAAAGTCCTATATATCCTGGCTCCTCCCTCACCTTGTCAGAGTGGTCCCTTAGAATGATCTGAGAGGCTATATCCCAGGCTTAAGTCCTCAGCAAGTCTGCCAAATAAAACATGATTCTCAGCTTTTAGTTTGTGCATCTTTTTTTTCAGCCAACAAGGTTGTTATGCCTGTTTCCAACTCTGGTGGGATAACAGGATGATTTCTATGAGTTACCAGGTTAATGCAGAGGGGAAATTGTTCACAGTCAATGACAGGACTGAGCCTCAAGGCTGCAGAGCAAACCCATCCATCTCTCCACAGTGACTGTACCACTCACCACAACCCCATCTCCGAGGAAGAGTTTATGGTTTGAACTGGTTATGCATCTTCCAGATGAACTTGAGCGAACTTAAGCAAATGAAGGATGTACTGAAATCCAAAGAGGCACCGAAGAGTCAGGATCAGGAAAGGCAAGAACCAGGCAGCACTTGGTGAGAGGAGGACTTCAGAGGCTGGTGCATGTGCTTTGAGTTTCAGACTCAATTGAGAGGCAGGCCAGGATCACAGGAAGACAAATGATCTGGGACAGCTAAAGTGCAACTTAGGAAAGGTGCTGCTGGGGAGAAGGAGAACCAAGTTAGTGAGGTCTTCTGGGCAATCTGCCTCAGCACCATCAGCTGGGTGCACCTGCTATGTGGTCTGTGAGCCATTAGGGTGTGAGAGATGACCTCTGAGGTTTCAGGCTCAAGTGTGCTTTATTTCCCTGGAGGAGGAGATGGCAGCCCGCTCCAGTCTTCTTGCCTGGAGAATCCCATGGACAGAGAAGCCTGGCGGGCTACAGTCCATGGGGTCACAGGGAGTCGGACACGACTGTGCGACTGAGCACTCATCATGTGTTTCAGTTTGTGTTAGAAAAAATTGCTGAGATACCAAACTCTTGGTTTTGTGTGATTGCTACTTAGGGAATATGAAAAATAGGACTTGGCTTTAAAAAGAATCCCTTTCAAAGACTAAGCAAATAGAGGCATGTGGATACAAGTCACTAAAGGGCTTCTAGGATTCGCAGAGCTGAAGGAATGTGGCCTTGAGGGATGGCTGTAGCAAGCTCATTATACATACATGTGTCCTAATGAACCCAGGGTCCTAAATACAGCTCTTTCCAGGGATGAGACGGGAACTCTGAGAAAAGTGGGCCAGGTGTAATACAACATGGAGTGGTGGAGACTGGGGCAAATGGTGGGGGGGCGGGGGGGGGCGGTGCCCGTACCACTGGCTTGACTTCATTCAACTGCTGTTGCAGAGAAACACAGGCCCAGTGTGGTCAGATCTTGTGCTTGCAAAGAAGAGTTGGGCATTCTAGAACTTTATGATAATTTTTCAGATTTGTCAACGTGAATTGCTAGCTCAAAAGTTGTAAAACAATGAGTGAACCACAAATGCAGAGCAGATCACAGACAGACGCCTGCTCACAGGCCAGCCTCTCTGGCCCACCGAGATGGGAGAGAGACCCAAGTGCAGACAGTTGTGGGGGATAAATTGCCCCTCACTGTTTTCTCTGCAAAGAGAAAGGAAAAACCGTGTAACCATGTTCTAGGGAGAGATGGTCTTGCTAGAAACGTACTTGCCTCTCCCCACTGAAAGATGGAAATTTTCCTTAAAGAGAGTATTTCTTTTATCATGTTTTATTAAGAGAATGTTTGAACATGCAGCAATGTTGAAAACCCCTCTCAGCGAACATCCATAACTCCTCCACTCTGATTCTATATCAATATATCACTGTATTTGCTTCATCATGTCAGTCTATACATCCAGCCCTCCATCCAACCGTCTACATAAACTCATGATGCAGCTTCCAGTAAATTAGCATGGGTGAGGCTGTGAAAGGTGACCTGGTCAGCTGCCTGTTTTTTTTCAAATTCATTTCATCATGTTTCCTTCCTCTCCTCTGTATTGAAGGGAAATACAATTCCCAGGCCCTGTTGTCTTCTTTTAATTTCATGGCTGCAGTCACTCCCCACAGTGATTTTGGAGCCCGAAAAAAGAAAATCTGTCACTACTTCCACTTTTTCCCCATCTATTTGCCATGAAGTGATGGGACCAGATGCCATGATCTTAGTCTGTTGAATGTTGAGTTTCAAATCAGCTTTTTCACTCTGCTGTGACAAACCTAGACAGTGTATTAAAAAAGCAGAGACATCATTTTGCTGACAAAAGTCCATGTAGTCAAAGCTATGGTTTTTCCAGTAGTTGTGTACAGATGTGAGAGTTGGACCATAAAGAAGGCTGAGTGTCAAAGAATTGATGCTTTCAAACTGTGATGCTGGAGAAGACTCTTGAGAGTCCCTTGGACTTCAAGATCAAATCAGTCCACCCTAAAGGAAATCAACCTTGAATATTCATTCGAAGAACTGATGCTGAAGTTGAAGCTCCAATACTTTGCCCATTTGATGCAAAAAGCTGACTCATTGGAAAAGACCCTGCCTGATGCTGGGAAAGACAGGGCAGGAGGAGAAGGGGACGACAGAGGATGAGATGGTTGGATGGCATCACTGACTCAATGGACGTGAGTTTGAATAAGCTCCGGGAGTTGGTGATGGACAGGGAAGCCGGGCGTGCTGCAGTCCATGGGGTCACAAAGAGTGGACACAACTTAGCTAGTAAACAACAGCAAATAGTCTTCTAGTTTCTAGATGGGTTTAGACAGAGGAAAACACTGGTGGGGGAGACAGGCAGGGGAGAAGCCAGGGCATTTCTACTTCTCTCTCTCTCTCCCTCTCCATTTTACACGGCTGCCAACCCGACTACAAAGAACTGCCCATCCATCCGTCCGGGAGCCCAGCTCCTATCTGCCCTGCGTGAAACGACACCAGTGTCCATCAGATGGCCCCAAATCTTGGGCTCCAGCAACACCTCCTCCTCCTGTCATCCCTCTGGGCCTAAAGGGGAGAGTGGCTTTCTCCTCTTGGTAATGTCTTGATTGCATTACTCTGTATTCTGCTTCTTACCTTTTTTCTGCCATTTGTGGAAACACTTTCTGCACTGTGCCCTCTCTCTGAAATAACCAACATGGTCTTGGTTGGATTCTGGTTGAAATAAGAGGTTGGCAAGTGTGTGACTTGCAGTCTTTGGGAGACACTGGCTATGCCAGAGGTGGAGTGCAAGATAGTAAGATACATCTTGTGGATGATGCCTGGGAAGGAAGGAGGCAAGGGAACAGGCAAGGTGGGTGGTCCTCAGACACCAGCAGGGAGGAAGAAGGGGAACAGTGATGAGAGTGCTTGGACTGCAGTGCTGGAACCAGCTGGCCCGGTGAGCTTCCTGCGCTGGCTAGAAATACTCAGGCCTTGACCCCCTCACTATACCCGGAGTTGTCCGGAGTTGCCCACGGGAGGAACCTCAGCTCAGGCACCAGAATGCATGCCAACAAACTCACTCTCCAGCTTTCCAGCAAGTTCTTTCTTGAAGGGAAATCCAAGTGGCTCACCTCCACGTTGGCGACAGAAAGCTACTCTTTTGTAAAAAAAATTTGTCTCAATTACATCTTGATTTCACCCTGGAGTAACCCCTTTCTAGTAAGAATGGGGGCCCGACCCCAAGAACCTGATGTGTGTAGCCCCAGAGCCAAAACTTTCTTCTCCACAGAAACTTTTAAATGGATGATTAATCACATGAGCCGCAGGGGATGGGAGGGTTAGGGCCCAGCTGGGATGAGTTAAATTATCCTCAGAATGCAGAGGAATATTTTAAGAGATAAATCTCATCCAGCTGTCAATTGGAAAATGGGAAGAGTGTGTGTGTGTGTGTGTGTGTGTGTGTGTGTGTGTGTGCACGCTCGGCTGTGTCTGACTCTTTGCGACCCCATGCACTGTAGCCCACCAGACTCCTCTG